AAGGAAGGAAGGAAGGAAGGAAGGAAGGAAGGAAGGAAGGAAGGAAGAAAGAAAGAAAGAAAGAAAGAAAGAAAGAAAGAAAGAAAGAAAGAAAGAAAGAAAGAAAGAAAGAAAGAAAGAAAGAACACAAGTTAGTCAGGATATCATGGGTTGCTAAATTTGATTTCCATTGATAATCAAGTATACAGAATACACAAAAGAAAAATGTGGGGAAAAGGGGAAACTCCCTCTTTAAACTTACAGCAACCAATCACAGCATAGATTGCCTTGTGCATGAGTCAGCGTTCTCTAATTAATCAACTACAACTGTATATTCTGGCCTATTGTACCTTTTACTGTTCCAGCTATGTCCGGTATATTGTGTTTCCAGGATTATAATTATTATTATTCATCTCACATAAGTCTAAAACCTTTCTGGCTGCCTTGAATTTTTCCAGAAAAATTCCACAGGAAGATTGTCCTATATCTTGGAATAGGAATTGTTGTATGGGAAGCTGAGAAAACTGAAGGCCAGTGTAGCAATTAAATACACTGCTCAAAAAAATAAAGGGAACACTTAAACAACACAATGTAACTCCAAGTAAATCACACTTCTGTGAAATCAAACTGTCCACTTAGGTAGCAACACTGATTGACAATCAATTTCACATGCTGTTGTGCAAATGGAATAGACAACAGGTGGAAAGCATAGGCAGTTAGCAAGACATCCCCAATAAAGGAGAAGTTCTGCAGGTGGTGACCACAGACCACTTCTCAGTTCCTATACTTTCTGGCTGATGGTTTGGTCACTTTTGAATGTTGGCGGTGCTGTCACTCTAACGGTAGCATGAGATGGAGTCTACAACCCACACAAGTGGCTCGGGTAGTGCAGCTCATCCAGGATGGCACATCAATGCGAGCTGTGGCAAGAAGGTTTGCTATGTCTGTCAGCGTAGTGTCCAGAGCATGGAGGCGCTACCAGGAGACAGGCCAGTACATGAGGAGACATGGAGGAGGCCGTAGGAGGGCAACAACCCAGCATCAGGACCACTATCTCCGCCTTTGTGCAAGGAGGGACAGGAGGAGCACTGCCAGAGCCCTGCAAAATGACCTCCAGCGGCCCACAAATGTGCATGTGGCTGCTCAAACGGTCAGAAACAGACTCCATGAGGGTGGTATGAGGGCCTGATGTCCACAGGTGGGGGTTGTGCTTACAGCCCAACATCGTGCAGGATGTTTGACATTTGCCAGAGAACACCAAGATTGGCAAATTCGCCACAGGCGCCCTGTGCTCTTCACAGATGAAAGCAGGTTCACACTGAGCACATGTGACAGACGTGACAGGGTCTGGAGAAGCCGTGGAGAACGTTCTGCTGCCTGCAACATCCTCCAGCATGACCGGTTTGGCAGTGGGTCAGTAATGGTGTGGGGTGGCATTTCTTTAGGGGGCCGCACAGCCCTCCATGTGCTCGCCAGAGGTAGCCTGACTGCCATTAGGTACTGAGATGAGATCCTCAGACCCCTTGTGAGACCATATGCTGGTGCGATTGGCCCTGGGTTCCTCCTAATGCAAGACAATGCTGGACCTCATGTGGCTGGAGTGTGTCAGCAGTTCCTGCAAGATGAAGGCATTGATGCTATGGACTGGCCCGCCCATTCCCCAGACCTGAATCCAATTGAGCACATCTGGGACATCATGTCTCGCTCCATCCACCAACGCCACGTTGCACCACAGACTGTCCAGGAGTTGGGGGATGCTTTAGTCCAGGTGTGGGAGGAGATCCCTCAGGAGACCATCTGCCACCTCATCAGGAGCATGCCTAGGCATTGTAGGGAGGTCATACAGGCACGTGGAGGCCACACACTACTGAGCCTTATTTTGACTTGTTTTAAGGACATTACATCAAAGTTGGATCAGCCTGTAGTGTTTTTTTCCACTTTAATTTTGAGTGTAACTCCAAATCCAGACCTCCATGGGTTGCTAAATTTGATTTCCATTGATAATTTTTGGGAGATTTTGTTGTCAGCACATTCAACTATGTAATGAACAAAGTATTTAATAAGAATATTTCATTCATTCAGATCTAGGATGTCTTATTTTTGTGTTCCCTTTATTTTTTTGAGCAGTGTATATAGCAAAAGAGGACATTCACAAGCACTCACACATATCCCTTGACTACCTACATAACTACACAGGTACAATTATTCTATTCAGCCAAAGGAAACATTATCAAAATTATTTTCTTCTTTAGGGGAAAAGCAAGAATGAAAAACACTTTTTGCCTTTCACCAAATTGAATGAGAACTGATAAAGTAGAAAATTGGTCCACATCACATTAGTTGATATAGTACTTCCATACCACTTTGCATTCTCCAAATCTAATCTGGAGTAGGAACCGGGAAGTTGCTGACTTGAGCTGAAGACATTATATATCAGACAAACTAGGAGACCAATTTGAAAGCATTTCCTGTAGCAACAAGATTGGTTGATGCCTATAAATGAAGGAAGCAAATTATTCTAGGGAACAAATAACAAGGCTTCAGCAGTGATTTTGACTTGTACTCCTTGTCTCTGTATTTATTGGGTTTAAAAAATATTTTTATATTTATTATTGTAATTGTAAACTATCCAGAATTGATTTGCAGAGTGAGATGGGCAGCAAATAAATTTAATAAATAAAATGTACCAGCTACTAGGTGGATTCCATGGACTATTCAAATGGTGGCACTGATAAAGCCCTACTTAAAACTTCTAATTCAATTCATGAGTCTTTCCAGGTTTTAAAATCTGTGTCCCATCACGTTTCATAGGAACATAAGGGCATTTTAGGTGATTATTTCCAAATTCTAAAGCTTCCTTTTCAAAAGGCCATGCTAGGTTTTGTGTGTGTGTGTGTGTGTGTGTGTGTCCTTTTATTACCTTTCATTCAGTTCGGAGGCATGTATTTTTTCTCATACTAAGCACTCGTTAAGAGAAACTTGAGAAATGCAATTAATTATAATCTGATTTTCTATTTATAATTACAAAGATGTACTAGTTATATTTGATGTTATTATTATAAAGCTATTTTATGCATGATTTGTAACTTTATTGTTTAAATAAAGAAAGTAATCACTTGAGTAATAATTTCATCATGGAACACAAAAATCTCAAGCAAATAAACTCACTAATAAAATTCCATAATACATTTAATAAAGAATTACAGCAATACTTGGGAGTGAGCTCTACTCAACTCAATGTTACTTTCTTCTGATTGTATAGCAGATTTTTAGATTCTTTTTCACACATTTAAAAAATAGCTAAAGGGTCTGAAAAATACTTAGGGGCCCAAAAATATCTGAACAGAGCAGGTACAAAAAGAGTCTATTTACACTGTGAAAGTTTGAAGGAGTTTAAGCACCTATTTCATCTCTTTAAAATCTTGAAACTCATTCTAAGAGACCTGCCTCTGAAATTTATTACTGCTTTTTAAATGCAGATGTGTGCACTTTACTTCACTTAATGACGTTCCTGTGAACTCTCTTTCTGGCTGGTGCAAACTTTTTTTCTGTTATGCAAAGATTGAAAACACAGGTGACAACAAAGGTCTACTTTTTATTTTATTTTTTTCATTGGATTGTCACGCAATATCAAAATACCCTTGCTGGTCTGAGTAACTTCCTGTACATTTAAGAAAAGACTTTTTAAAAACCAGCCCCTTTAGCAATTACAGGCTGAAAGACAAACAAAGCACACCTTATTTAGGGTGGATCCATTTTTGTAGAGGGTCTCAAGGACACAACACTGCATTCCATTTAAGCTCTATGGCCACAGAGCAACAAAGGTAAACCATGCACGTTTGCAACAAGAGATACACAAAATGCTTTGAATTTGAAATTATCCCATTGCAAGTGGGCCATTAGTGGGTTTGAACATGTTTTGTGAGCTGAATGCTTTGTTGGGGAAGAGAGAGAAAGGGAGAAACTTCTTAGGATTCTGAGTGTTTCATTTCTGGTTCCTGCAGTTTGCAATTCCCAAAATTCAATACTGAGAAGACATGGAACATTCGTATATGGAGGTTCGCAGTCATTCAGGTCATAGTTGTCTCAATGGTGCCTTTTCAAAAGGCAACTGGATGTTTTTTCCCTCGAGGAATAAGAAGAAAACATTTCGCTTCTCATCCAAGAAGCTTCTGAACATTTAATTGTTCAGAATTGATGAAGCTTTTTGGATGAGAAGAGAAATGTTTTCTTCTTCCTCCTCAAGAAAAAAAAAACATCCAGTTGCCTTCTCAAAAACCACCTTTGAGACAGGGTACATTGAAACCAGAATGGGATAACTTTCTGTGGCCAACTCATCATGGCCATCTCACCACCACCAACTCACTGCCGGACAACTCACACCGCAGTAACACTGTGGGACAAATGAACAATTCAATTTAATTATTTAAAATAATTTTTAAAATATTTAATTTTTGTCATTGGCATTTCACTTTCTCGCTCTTTTTGCATCCTTTCTTTAATGATTCTATCCCACCATTTCTTGATATTAGTGGTGGTCCCATGACAAGTTGTCCTGCAACAAGTTGGCCATGGCAAGCTGGCGATGGAGAGTTGGCTATGGCAAATTGTCATAGATCCCATTCAAATGACACATCAACTTGCAAACCAGCACTCCCTTTAGACAAATAGACTTATATATCGCTTTACAGTGCTTTATAGCCCTCTCTAAGTAGTTTACAGAGTCAGCGTATTGCCCCCAACAATCTGGGTCCTCATTTTACCCACCTCCGAAGGATGGAAAGCTGAGTCAACCTTGAGCCTGGTGAGATTCAAACTGCCAAATTGCAGGCAGTCAGCAGTCAGCAGAAGTAGCCTGCAGTACTGCACTCTAACCACTGCGCCACTACAAAATGTTTAAGAACATTTCAAGTGGTTTTCAGGAATGGCGAACACCCTAAACAGGAGGAACCTTTCCTTTTGTGTCCTTGTTAAGGGAGGACCTCTAAGCAGACAGAGTTGCTACAGAAAACACATCTTGATGAGGGCTGTATGCTCAGTGGCACATGCAAGGATGACCTGGGGACCCAAACCCCTACTGATACACCCCAGTGGAGGAAGAAAAAAACAGTTATTATCCTGTTTGCTCCTTTTCCTTGGAATCCCCCTTCTTTCCATCTGGTTTTCTCACTTGAAGTGGCAAGTAAGTAGAGGAGGAAAATTGCAGGAAAGAAATGGGGGTGGATAGGAGTTAAGTGCTCACCTCCCTGCTTCCAGAATGGGACAAAACTCACTACAGCCAACTTGCCATAGTTCATCTTACCACGGCCAATTCACTGCGGACATCTCACCATGGCCATCTTGCCGGACAACTCACAGTGGGACAATTCACTGTGGCCAACTCGCCATGGGACTAACTTGCTGTGAGACAATTCCAGCTGGATAACTCAATGTGATAATAAATGTTATTCACCACTGTTTCTTTGACATTATTTTCATTGACAAAAATGGCATTTATCGTGTTGAGTTATCCCTCATGGATTGTCCCATGATAAGTTATCCTGAAGCGAGTTGGGCATTGTTGAGTGTCCCTGGAGAGTTGGCCATGCCAGGTTGGCCACAATGAGATGGCCATTGCATGTTAGTCACTGAGAGTTGTCCTAGTTCCCCCTGCTTATCCTCTTGACAGGGAAACAAAAGGAACCAGTCTTTTCAAATCCTGTCTCTGCCAAACATTGACTACATAGTTTTGGTTTCAGCAAGTCAAACTCTCAACGCAGACACACACTCTTCATCAAAAGGCACTCTTCTATTAGGATGGTCTTGCTCCAGTAGTAGCTTTACTCAAGATCAGAACTGTGAGCATCCCAATTAGCAATGTGGCCAACAATAAACAAAGGAAAAGGAAAGCAAAACGCTGCACATCACCAATGAAAGCTAGCAGTAACTGGAACAGAACCTAACAAGGATAGCAGCACAATACAAATTCAACTGGCAAGAAGAAGAGATGCAGGGTATTACATCTACCATCATTGGGAAACAGCTTGTGCTTATTGTGTTTATTTCAATGCTTCTCAATCTGGGCAACGTTAAGATGTGTGGACTTCAACTCCCAGAATTCTACAGTCAGCACAGTTGGCTGGGGAATACTGGAGTTGAAGTCTATACATCTTCAAGTTTCCCCAGGTGGAGAAGTAATAGTCTGTTCTTAGACCATCCTTACTCCATCCTGGTGGCCTTGAATTGTAGGAACTCCAATTCTGAGAATTCCTGTTGGCTGAGAATTGGCTGAGAATTCCTGGACTGGGAATCTCAGCAAACCTGGAAGAACCACCCTGGAGAAAACTGTTCTAAATAGACCTCCATCCAGCATCATCAGCTTCAACTGGTCTTCAATAAAAGAATAACGTTTTACGGTATGAAATCTTTCTGAAAGGCCTTTGCTGATTAATGCACCATGAAGTCATACAAATCGAAAAGTTTTGCTTTGCACTAAGGTGGTTGTGGGAAATGTTACTGCAACATGGAATATTATAACTAAGAGTATTGGATCAAAATGTAAAGAATCTATATTGACAGTTTTAAGATCCAGTTAAGATGTTCTAGAAAGAACATTTGACATGCTGCTGTTGAATGTGTCTCCTTATTTCGGCACATGGTGGGGCATGATGAGAGTGAACAAATACCCTTAGGTATTAAAATGCTTTTAAGTGTGCATAAGGGAGTAGGCTACAATAGGCCTTCTCCTTGCGGTCACAGTCAGACAACTGTGTGGAATGCATGAAAATGCATCTCCTCACTACCATTATCTGCATTTTGAATTGGTAAAGTCTTGTCACATCCTTTTTCCTAAAAAATTTAGGCGCCTATGAAGTCACAGGGAAATAAAAATTGGGCATAGTCTCAGCCTTGATCAATCATTAAGTAGAGGTAGGTTCAAGGTTCAAGGTTCAAGAAGCAGAGTTAGAATTTTCCCAAATCATGCCCTTCTCACGAGGGAGTGGGTGAACTTTATTAGTCCCTGTGAGTATCTTAGCAAAAAGAAAGCTCAGTGCCTTGACTATCTTGCCAGAATCATCAAACTGCTGTCTCGTGAAGCTACAATAAGATTAGCTCAAGAAATATTTGGTCCAAGAAATGTGAGTAGGTGCCGAACACTGTTGTATGTAACTTCTTTGGCAAGATATGTCTTAATGCTCAGATGCCTTCAAGCTCAGACTCAAAAGGCACTAAGCCAAGACCGCAAAACTATCTTTAGTAGATGACCATATTCAGAAAAGGGAAAATTTAAAATTAACCAAAGCAATATGTTTCAAGGTGGTTTGCTTTCTCCAGACCAGTGATTCTCAACCTGTGGTCCGCAGACCTCTGGATGATCACAATGTCATAGGGAGAGTCCACAAAGGCTTGAAAAATATGTTAAGATTTAAATCTTGAGTTAAGTCTTGGGGGTTTGTGGCCATGGTCAGTGGCCACAAAATATATTTAAAAAGAGTCCATGGTAAAGAAAAGGGTGAGAACCATTGCTCCAGACCATTATTTTATAATAACTTGATCTAGTTTTGTGGATCTTGGGAGAGTCTAGTAGAAATAAAAGGAAAAAGAAGGAAGATCAAAGTAGATCTTGTAAGTTAGGGTCAGCCCACACTTGATTTAAAGGCCTTCCCATATCTCAAGATGCTTCAGTAACATCTCTTTTAATCTATTTTGATGCAGTAGATTATTAAAGCTTATTCAGATAATCAGGAAACTTTTCTAATGCATCTGATCATTGTGGTGCCATGATTTCAAGACTGTGTGAAGGGAAGAGTAAGGTTTTAAAATCAATGTCTCCAAGAAAAGCTGAGACAATGGTAGGATTGTAGAAGCTACAAAGAACGTTGTTTTCTAAAAGATTTCAAGCATGATGGATTGGGCCATAATCTGGTATCTGGCAGGTCTCTAAAACCTGCCTTGTTTAAAATGTTATAGATGGCTATGCCATCAACCAATAGAACCCTTATTCTGCATTCAACCAACTTACTTTACAGAACTTTCCATAGTTTGGCAATGATAGAAGTCATTTATTAATGACGGGGGAAAAAATTCCTCTAGACATCAGAGAAATTGGACCCAGTTTGGGAATTATTATCTGTGAGATGTGATTCTAGCTGGTGTTCAGAAGCTGGGATTCTTCAAATTCTAATTCCTGTGAATTAGAACAATTGTCCTAAAGATGGAAAAAAATCAAGAGATGGCGAAATATTTACTGCATATACTATATCTACCTGTCTTATGAAAAATAAATCTTTCATTTTCTAAGGTTGCAGATGAGAAAGAGATAGTGAAAAGTTTACTCTCAATCATTTGGCAAATAGTCATGTCACAATCTGGTTAAAAAGTGACTCAAGGCCAAGAGTACTTGGCTTGCCATGAAGAGCAGTTGAAGAACTTCTAAACACAGTTGTCCACTGTACCAAGGATATAAGGGACACCAAGGGTTGTGTTAGGAAAGTTTCTATTGTTGACATCTAGCACCTCCACCAGAAGACAGATTTCTATTCTAGACCAAAATCACAGAAGACAAAATGTGCTCACTAGGGCTACCTTCTCTGGCCTGCAAAAATCTTCTTGACCACAACGTAGCAGCAAAGAGATACAGAAAGAAAGCTTGTTCCTGCTATTTCGTGATCAGCGTTGATGTTTGCAGCCTGGAAATGATAACCCTAAGTTTCGTTTCCTGGCTTGTGGACCCAACTCCCAGCTCAGGAATAAAGTGATAATACACAGACTACTCTACACAGAGCTACAGTAAAACTGTTCATCATTCAGGTGGTATTTCGAACACTTTGTTGTGCTTGTAGAAGGCTGAAATGTTCTTGTCCCTCACATTCATGACACCACGATTGTCCAGTCGCTGTCTTCTCTTCCATACTGAAACACAAACAAAGAGGGTTAGGAGAAACGCCATGGGGAGCCCTAGAGTTTCAAGTTCAAGTCTTTCTTCAACCAAGACACTAACCAGGTACCTCTTCTGTGAAAACTATGGAGTAGGTCTCCATACTGGAAGACCATTTTAGAGTTTTTGAAAACTCTGCATTTGGTTGGCTGTTAAAAATGCTGAAGAAGAGGTTGAGAGAGTGATGTACAGAAGAAGTACATTCCCAAAGCCCTAAAATTGCATTCAGTTGCCCAAAATGTTCATCACATCTTTCATGTAACTGAAATACATCCCTGGGGGACAGAATGGGACAAGTCACCACAGCCAACTCGCCATGTTCAACTCACCACAGGATAACTCGCTGTGGGGCAATTCAAGAATTCAGTTTTATTATTTAAAAATAGTTAAAAGAATTATTTTAATTTTTGTCATTCACATTTCATTTTGTCCCTCCCTTGGCATCCTTTCTTTAATGATTCTATTCCAATATTTCTTCGATATTAGTGTAACACTTGGAGAGTTGGCTATGGCGAGTTGGCCGTGGCAAGTTGGCCATTACAGGTTAACTATATTTAATTTGAAATAAATTGTAAATGAAGCCCCAAAAAAAAAAAGATTGTTGTTCTGACACTTCTACTGAGAGTGAGCCCAGAATATTGGTTAACGCCTATGGTTGCTCCTTGATTTGGAAAGAGCTGGTCTTGGGCAGGCTTAGATGTGTACATATGTACTGTGGGAACTGCATCGAATAGAATAGAATAACAGAGTTGGAAGGGACTTTGGAGGTCTTCTAGTCGAATGCCCTCCTTAGGTAGGAAACCCTACACCACTTCAGACAAATGGTTATCTAATCTCTTCTTAAAAACTTCCAGTGTTGGAAGATTTACAACTTCTGGAGGCAAGTTGTTCCACTGATTAATTGTTCTAACAGTCAAGAAATTTCTCCTTAGTTGTAAGTTGCTTCTCTCTTTGATTAATTTCCACCCATTGCTTCTTGTCCTGCCCTCAGGTGCTTTGGAAAATAGCTTGACTCCCTCTTCTTTGTGGCAGCCCCTGAGATATTGGAACACTGCTATCATGTCACCCCTAGTCCTTCTTTTCATCCTAGTTCAATTCACAGTGCTGATTGTCACCTTCAAAGCCCTACATGGCTTGGGACCAGGTTATCTAAAGGACCATCTTTTCCCGGTCATATCTACCTGACTCACCAGAGGCAGAGAATACTACAAGTTCCCTCTCTTAAGGAAGTTCATCTAGTAGGACCAAGAAGGACCTTCTCCATGGTGGCTCATCCCTGTGGGTATAAGATTGCCCCCTACTTGGACACTCTTTCACAAGACCTGGTTTTGCTAACAAGCCTGGGGAAACCAGAGTGGTATGGAGCCCATCAAATGGCTCATTTGATTATTGTTGAATCAAAGTATAGAGACTGTGGAATTACGTCTACCTACTGCGTTTCTGTCAGGAGAAATAATTGAGCCATTCAACCATTTGTCTATTTCTCATAGAAAACATATGAGAGCCTTACTTGGATATCACTTAGCTGGTTCCAGAAACGGGTTGCTATTTGAGGTCCATTCTCCATAGTCGGAATACACAAATTCTAGAAGAAAAGAAAAACTAAGTTAAACTACAAAGGTGTTCAGGAAATCGATTTCAGATGGAATGACAAAAGGCTTAGGAACAAAAAAACAAACCAATAAATGAAAACCCAGCAGTGAAAAACTTTCTTTTCCCCCCCATTTGAGATATAACTTTTTTCTTTTTCTGTTCAATCTTAATTCAGAGCAAAACAAGTTCTGTAGAAGCGAAGCTGACAAAAGATCATTATTCAACTGTCACACAAATATTAAATTCATTCCCAAGAACTAAACTGCCAAAGACATTTTATTTGGCTGGTACAAATTATATTATGGCATCTGCAAGGAATATAAGGAGAGAAATTATATCAGCTATGACAATACAGAATCTTCCCTCCTGGGAATGCCTGTAATTTCAGCAAGATATTCATATCAGCAGGAAGGGGAACAGACTTAGTTACAGTTGTTGGAACAATTGAAGAACCAGGTTAGAACGAGAAATGGTCTTGGGGGGAAAAAAATCTAAGTCAGCAATAATTTGATGGTGTATATAATCAGCTAAATATCAAGCTTTGAGTCCCGGTGGCGCATTGGCTAGAATGCAGTATTGCAGTCAAACTCTGCCCACAGCCTGGAGTTCAATCCTGATGGGGCTCAAAGTTGACTCAGCCTTCCATCCTTCCGAGGTTGGTAAAATGAGGTCCCAGATAGTTGGGGGCAATAGGCTGACATTGGAAACCACACAGAGAGTGCTGCAGTATGGAACCATATATAAGTGTAAGTGCTATTGCTATTATTCATTGCTACAATTGAAACGATTGATAAATTTGACTCAGGGGCTACTGAGATTTTGCCTTGCATTCTGCATATCGTAACTTTTACAGAAATTTTAGAACCTCTCTACTCAAGTTCCAATTTGTCCCCTCAAAATGGGATGCTTTTCTACTTTAATCTTTCTGTCAAAAAAGAACACTTTTCTCTAATTCAGGATTCTAATAGGAGATTCTTTAAGAAGAATTACATCTGTATAATTTTCAGTCTTGTATTGATGCAAAATGTGATCCATCTTTCTCCTGACAAACTGTACCAAATAATCCCTTGAAATACTTCTTATTCTTGCAAGTCTTTAGTCCATAAACTTTATCGATTTCTGCTTTTATATCTCTTACCTCTCCCAGGTATAGTATTGTTGAAACAGGACATACAACACAAGCTGTTCCAGCCCCAAACATTTCCTTCACTCTCTTTTCCTTCAAGGCAGTTGTGAGATCGTTCATAGTAATGTATCGCTCTGATACTTTAAATTCACCCTGAAAAAAGATAAGCAAGCAGTTCTAGAAATTATGTTTGCCAAGAACTAAGATTCTTGTATTGTTTAAAATGTAAAGAGTTTATATTTATAAAATGTAAACCTTCTTTAGGTCAGCTCTTGGAGACTTCAAGGAGACACCCATGTAATTTTCAATATAGCAGTTTTCAATACAACAGTGCAGCTTTTCAATTTAGCAGTGATTTCTCACTGCCTCCTTCTGAGATATTTCTTCAACTTCCCAATTTAGCCCAAGCATCTCTTGATGGTCACCATCTGAGTATTAACCAGGTTCAGCCCTGCCTTGCAGTTTTTTTAAAAAAATATACAGATACTGCCACCTAGCTGAGGTAAAAGTAAAGTCGATTTCAAGTTGAACGTAACTTCTACTAACTACATAGACCAGGAGTGTCAAACTGGCAGCCCACTGGCTAGAGACATCACAAGTAGGCCACGCCCATCCCCAGCTCTGTGAATGGGAAAAATGTCACAAAACATCACGTGACAGCAACGTGATGCATCAAGTTTGACACCCATGACATAGATTAATCAGTATTGCTTCTTGGACAAATTATCAACTGGTTTCTGCCTGTTAAGGCACACAAATAGGAAAAGCAAGCATAAGATTTGAACCTCATGTCTATTTATCTATGCATCTATCTATGTATCTATGCATCTGTGTGTCCGGCCAGCCAGCCAGCCACCCTAACTTTTTCAGTACTTATAACAGTGGCTTAAAGAGCTATGTCTCTTTAAGCTTGAATAAAATACAACAACATAGAATCATCTTTAGTAACTATGCCCAATCCAACAGCCAGGGCAGAGCATGGTTATATCAATATAGTTGCTATTAGATCACCCAGTAAGGTGTACTTTAGACTGGACTATGATTTCATCATATTACAGCACATGATTAACTTGCTAGAATTAATTACCAGAAAAATCAAATGGTGGCCTGTAACTTGAATTGTTTCGAAAGGAGATGGGACAAATTCAGACTCACGGGTTCATCAAGAGGAATTAGTTTTGAAGATTCAACATTATCTCCAAGGGAAAGGCCACATGCCTTCAAATATCAGTTGCAAGGAAATCATGTCTGAAGAGGGACAAGTACAGTTGAGGCATCTGGTTGGCCTTTTATGAGGATTATGAGCACCAATTATGAGAACCAATGCCATCTAGGATGGGCCTTTTCTGATCCAGAACTCTCTGTCTATTCCTCTCTTTGTCTCTATATAGGGAGATTCTCAATCATCCAGGTCATGGTTGTTTGAAAGGTGCTTTTTCAAAAGGCAGCTGGACTTTCTTTGTTTTTCCTTGAAGATGTTTCGCTTCTCATCCAAGACGTTTCTTCAGTTCTCAGTTCAGAAGAAGCTTCAGTTCAGAAGAAGCTTCTTGGACGAGAAGTGAAACATCTTCAAGGAAAAACAAAGAAGGTCCAGTTGCCTTTTGGAAAAGCACTTTTGGGATTCCTGTCTTTGCCAATCACTGACTCAATTATTAATATATGAGTCTATATTCTGCTGATAACAAAAGCAAGAGGTTGCAAGTTAGTCTGTGAGCTGAATGGAAATTCCACTGCAAGCTGATTTGGGATTTGGAAGAAGTGTTGTAGCCTAATAGTCTACCAGAAAAATAGATAGCACATTGAAGGATCAGAAGTTCAGAACTATCCGAGCAGATGGCTACCTACCCACTTGCGTGCCAGATCTAAGATGCTTTGCCTCGTCACACCAGGAAGAATGATGCCATCTAGAGGTGGGGTTGCCAGCTCATCTTCTGTTAATAAAAAAGCAGGAAACTTGAGCATAAAAGTACAGCATTATACAATCGTACAAAAATAATAGTTATAGCAGCTATAAGAAGAGGGTTTTGAAAAAATACTCTAAGAAGTTGTTCTGCAGTAGTTCTGTTTTGATATTTACTGTTCTGAAGAATTTTCCTTCTTATTTCTTGGAAGGCAGGTACATTTGAAAAAAAAACACTAATCTTTTAGAAGACATACTTTATTTATTTATTTGATTTGTCAATTGTTTACAAGATTATAAGTATAAGTGTATACATAGTTATGAATACATGAAATGGGTACATATAAGAAAAATAAAAGAAACAACAGGACAGGGACGGTAGGCACATTGGTGCACTTATGCACGCCCCCTACAGACCTCTTAGGAAAGGGGTGAGGTCAATCGTAGACAGTCTAAGGTTAAAGTTTTTGGGGTTTGGGGAAGAAACCACAGAGTCAGGTAGAGTGTTCCAGACATTGACCACTCTGTTGCTGAAGTCGTATTTCCTGCAATCAAGTTTGGTGCGGTTAACCTTGAGTTTGTATCTATTGTGTGCTCTTATGTTGTTATGGTTGAAGCTGAAGTATTCATTGACAGGTAGGACATTGCAATGTATGATTTTATATACCATACTTAGATCAGACCGAAGACGGCGTAATTCAAGGTTTTCTAGTTCTAGAATTTCAAGTCTGGTGGCATAAGGTATTCTACAACGAGTAGAGGAGTGGAGAACTCTTCTTGTGAAATATTTCTGGACTTTCTCAATTGTGCTAATATCAGATACGTAATGTGGGTTCCAGACTGATGAGCTGTATTCGAGTATTGGTCTAGCAAATGTTTTGTATGCTCTAGTTAGTAGTGTGATATATTACCAGAGAAAAAGCTACGTAGGATTAGGTTAACAACTCTTAATGACTTTTTGGCTATGTAGTTACAGTGGGCTCTAGCACTTAGATCATTAGAGATGAGTATTCCAAGGTCCTTTACAGAGCTTGGATCATCAACAATACTGTTTTTGCATACAATGCTAGACTGGGTCAAAATGGGTTTGGATAGTTTGTGGTTCACTATGTTTTAAGAATCCAGATGTCATATTAACATGACATGTGAAGGTCTTTATATTGCATCATCTGAAGGGTGTCCAGATTGAGGAAAGCATGCAACTCTGCTACATCAACCAAACACTTTTCACACGATCTCCAGGACTCTCAAATTTTATACAGGGGACTTTCATTATTCACCCTTTCTAGATGTAAGACTTCTAAATTTCTCTGATTTAAATTTCATCCTCTTCATTTTAGCTCACGTTCAAGTCTTCTCAGTTTTTTTTTTAATCTTCTCTTTCCCTTCTAAAGTATTAGCCAGTCCTAGATTTACATGCTCTGCAAATGTCGTAATCCCACCTTTTCCCAAATTATTAGGAAAAAAAGATGAACAGCCCCGTGATCCAGGTCAAAGTTCCCTTGATACAATTCTCCAATCATAGAATCATTTAGGAGTATTCTCTGAATGTAGTTATACAGGCAGTTCTGATTTTATATTTCATAATTATATGACATTCATTAAATAGACCATGTATTTAATTATTTCCCCCACCTCTAATTAATTTATTAGCAATAGCGAGGGTCTCTGGAACCATGCCCAAGACTTTTTGAGGGGCACTTGGATCTGAGGTTGCAGGTTCCCCATCTCTAACATCGTTGCAAGGTGGAACCATGTGTAGGACGATGGAGAGCTTTAAAAAAAGCCATTTATTTCCAATATAGTAGATAAGGTTAAGGGACAGGAAGCTTCAGGTAGCAGTTCAATCAAGTCAGACCCCATACCTCCATCTTCATTTCGCCAATACAGGAAAAGATTCATCGTCCCAACTTCTGTAATTTGATGGTCATCCCCATAAAGCCAGAGGACCTGTTGGCACCCCAATTCCATGGCTTCACGTTGGGCATAAATCGAAGAGCCATAATTCCTTTGGGGCACAGAGCAAAAAGGCCATTTATATACTTGACAATATACCTACAAGTGATTTGCTTTCTAATATGTAACAGATATTCCCTAACACAGTACCTCCACAGACACAGGCAGGCTGCAACCCTAAGAGCAGCTGGCTTTCGAATTAAGGCCAAGGGTGGGATTCTACAGGTTCGCACCTATTCGCTAGAACTGGTTGTTAACATTCTAAGCAGTTCGGAGAACCGGTTGTTAGAAGAAATTACTGGCCTAATCCTGTAAGGAAGGAAGGAAGGAAACATTCTGGTGTTGCTTACAGAAACTGACTCTCCGTTAACCCTTTTTACATTCTTGGCAGGACTAGACTTCCTGTCTCAAGAACTTCTCTGGAGTTTTTTTTCCCCTCCTTTGCTGGTACTTTGCTTGTGTGAAGTGACCATTCAAATTTACAATGGCACTGAAAAAAGTGACTTATAACTATTTTTCACACTTATGACTATTGCAGCGTCCCCACAGTCGAGAAGCCAGTTGAGGAGATGCATGCCTCGATTTGAGTGATGTTGAGTTGGCCACGCCCAGCCAGTCACATTACCAAGCCACGCCCACCAACTAAGCCACGCCCCACAGAACCGGTTGTTTAAAAAAATGAATCCCACCCCTGGTTAAGGGACTCTCTAAACTTAGGTTGTCCTCCCAATGTGAATGGGATACTGCAGAGAGGGACATTGCAAGGGTGCCATTGTGTCTGTGTGGAGATTCTCAGTCATCCAGGTCATAGTTGTGTCCAAGGTGCTTTTTTCAAAAGGCAACTGGACTGTTTTTTTTTCCTTTGAGGACGAAGAAGAAAACATTTCGTTTCTTATCCAAGAAGCTTCGTTGGATCTGGCAGGATGGTGGCAGCAATGGAAGGATTAGTTCTGACAGGATGGGGAAGGGTTTGTTTGTTTGTTTGTTTGTTTGTTTATTTATTTATTTATTTATTTATTTATTTATTTATTTATTTATTTATTTATTTAACTTGCCAAACACTTACAATATATTGGAAATAAGTATAAAAACATGAAATAGATACTAATAATTGGGGATAATAGGACAGGGACGGTAGGCACGATTGTGCGCTTATGCACGCCCTTTACAGACCTCTTAGGAATGGGGTGAGGTCAATAGAGGTTAGTTTGAGGGTAAAGGAGTGGGGGTTTGAGCAGGTGACAACAGAATCAGGTAGTGAGTTCCAGACACTGACCACTCTGTTGCTGAAATCATACTTCCTGCAATCAAGCTTGGAGCGGTTTACATTTAGTTTATATCTGTTGTGTGCTCTTGTGTTGGGTTGGAAGGATGGGGAAGGGTTTATTTATTTATTTGTTTGATTGATTGATTGTTTATTTATTTATTTTATTTTGTTTGTCAAACACTTACAATACAATAGAAATAAGAATAAACAAAAGTATAAATACATGAAATAGGTACTAATAATTGGGGACAATAGGACAGGGGCTGTCCTCTGGTCGTTGCAGTCATCTGGTTGTTAGCACTCTCCCTGAGAGGTCTTTGAGACCACTTGAGGGTTTATCTGTGCCCTCAGGGTTACCTGTACCAGAATGAAAATGGGGGTAGAATCTTCTTAGAATTGCTGAAAGGACTACATTGTAGACAGGAGATAGGTGGTCTCTTATCCAGGGGTGGGATAACAACCAGTTCAGTGATCGCACGCTTCGCATGCGTGAACGGCAATGCCAGAATCCTTACCTGCTATGTTACTTCGGGGGAGTAACAGCTGAGGAGCAGCAATCCGTTCTTCCACGCTGATCAGCTGGGACGATAAAGGTCAGTACAGCACACACGGGCCCACATGATTGTCGGAGCAAACCGGTTCGCTCCGAGCTGATCTTCGGAGCTAGGGGTTCGCCCGAACCCGTTTGAACCAGCAAAATCCCTCCCTGCTCTTATCCCTCCCCCTCTGTTGAGTGAGGGCTGCTCAGTTTTAACCTACTGTAAATGGCCTCTTTCGCCCCTCTTTCAAACCAATGTTCCTCTCTATCCAGCATGTGGACATTGCAGATGATTGCAAAAAAGAAATATGATTCTTCCCAGCCTCAGTCTGCCACGCCACGTCACACTGTTGAAACTACCATCCTGCTAGAACCGACGATGCTTTTTGGAAGAGAAGCAAAACAGCAAGATCTCAAACTGAATTCTTCCTATGGCTCCACACACTATCTTGCCTTGGCCTATCAGTTTGAGGAGCATATCTTCATCACTTCATGTCAAGGCCCCCTTAGTTAAAAACAAAAAAAGCTTATGTATTTCCAAATGCATTCTCAATGCATTTTCCCATGCGGGCTCAGGAATTTTGGGAGCTGAAGTTTACAGCTTGTAAAGTTGCTACAATTGCCCACCCCTGTCTTAATGAGTATGACTGCAACAAGATTCACTTACCCTCCCAATTTGCAGTCCCCCGTCCCACCTTTCCAAGCTCGGACATATTTTGGATCTGCCCACAAGGAGACGGGGTTGAAGGTCCCACTTGTGAAGTAGGGCCCCACAGGGCTCAGTATCACATAGAGAATGGCCCTTGATGGCTTCTTGACTCCAAGAGAAGGCTACACAGAAAAAGGGAAGACAAATTCATTGAACTTATGGGTTCTTATCCGGTTCTTATATTAATCAATAAAACTGAAATGGCATAAAATATAGAGAAGAAATGTCCCAACATTTCTTATCATCAACAGAACCAATAGGTTAAGGAAGCAAAAAAGCCATCCTTTGTTGCATGTATCAGAACAGAGGCTAAACACTGAAGTGTTAGGTATGCTTCAGGTACCTTCAATAACCAGAGTTGGATTTGGTGGCTGAAATACCTCTTTCCAACTTCATGGGTCTATAAATCTGTGATTTGACCACCACAGGCATTGAGTTATGAGATGGATCTGTCAATTGGCAGTACCAGAAGTTATAGGTAGACCTGGCTTAAGGATTGCCTTGTTTAGTGACTGATTAGAGATACGGCAGAACCGAAAAAGTGACCAGTCTTCACATTTGCAACTACTGTATCACAGCAGCCCACACAATCATGTGATTGCCATTTGTGCGCTTCACAGCTGGCTTCCAACAAGCAAAAGTCAAATTGCAAGTTGTGGTCATGTGATGTCTCGCTTAATGGCCATGAGTGGAGGGAGAAGTGAGCTCATAAGTCAACTGCAGTCACATGTCTTATCAAACAACTATAGGTAATTAGTTTAACAACTGCAGTGGGAGCGAGGCTGTAAGTCTATCGCAATCATGTGATGTCTTAACAATCACATTGCTTAGTGATGAAGTTGAGGATTCCAATTGTTGTTAACTAAGGACTGCTTTGTACAACAGTTGCTTTAGAACCCCACACACAGACTTGTTACTTCAAGCCAATTTCTATGTTCAAATAACATGCTACAACCCACAGAAATGTCTTCTTATGATTTGATAAACTAGTTCAGTTCACACAACCTGCTCAATCAAGGGCTGGGTTATTCACAGACTGTTGAATAATACACGATTCATTTTAGCTCCTTCAATGTGCCATGTCAGAACCCAGACATTAAATGTGGGTTGGGAACAGGGAACAGTTGAAAAAGTTGTATGTTTTAAGGTGCAATGAAATGGTTGTTTTACATGGAAGGACATCTAGCAAGGACATCTTAACTTACTGCACCTCTGTATGGTTTGCCAATTGCACAGTGGCAGATAGGAAAGCACTCCAGGGGGTTAACGTCATTGCCCAGAAGATCATTAGTTGCCCTCTACTCTCTTTGGAAGAGCTTTATAGCTCCTGCTGCCTTAAGAAAATTCAAAACATTCTCAAAGATCCATCTCATCCTGGGCACCCTTTTTTTGAACTATTACCATCTGGCAGACGGTACAGAATAATAAAAACAAGGACAAATAGGCTGAAAAACAGCTTCTATCCCAGGGCAGTAGCTCTGTTGAATTCTACTGTATAGTGCTGTGTTGGGGGTTTTCGGTTCAATGGGTGGAATGTGAAGCATGTGTGTTTGTGTTTATTTTCATGGTCATGATGTGCACTGAAGATGGTGTTTGATTTCGTTGTATGGGGTGCAATGACAATAAAATAAAGTAAACTACAAAGGTTTGGCCCTCACCACTCCTTTGTCCTAATTCACTGACTGCCACATGGTAGATACAGCCTGTTATGTTTAGGAGAAGAAAGGAATAATGTGTAATGAACTGGTATAAGATTGCCACTAGGTGGAACTATTGTCACCCATAAGAGTACAATAGTAAATTCTTGGTTTCTTTACTCTTGAAAAGTTTGCCCAGGACAAGCCAGGTGGTCCTTATTTCTTTTTATTTTCCTCTCTTTATCCCTAAGGAAGCACCAGATAAATTCCCACGGAACGTGATGTCCTAAACTCAAAGAAGTCGTCACTCACTGCCAAAAGGACCTCAAAGTTCTACTCCAAGCAGAAAAGGGGAAAAAAATGTGATTCCGCTTAAATAGACTTTGCGTAGGCAGTCCTCAACTTACAACCCCAATTGGGAGCAGAATTTCCATCGCTAACCAAGGCAGTTGTGAAAAGTGAGCCGCACCCAATTTTATGACCTTTCTTGGACCCATTGTTAAGCAAAACCCTGCATTTGTTAAGTGAATCACATGGATGTTAAGTGAATGTGGCTTCTTCACTGACAAGGCTTGTCGGAAACCACCTGGAGAGTTTGCAAATGGCAATGGCATGACCTTTCGTTACCCTGCAACTGTTATACACACATGCTGGTGGCCAAGCACCTGAATTTTAATTGTGTCAGCATCCTGCAATGGACACAAGGATTGCTCACTTTTTTTCAGTGCAGTTGCAACTTTGGTCACTAAATGAATAGCAATAGCAATAGCACTTAGATTTATATACCGTTTCACACTGCTTTACAGCCCTCTCTAAGCAGTTTACAGAGTCAGCCTATTACCCCCAACAATTTGGGTCCTCATTTTACCCACCTCAGAAGGATGGAAGGCTGAATTAACCTTGAGCCTGGTGGGATCTGAACTTCCAAATTGCAGGCAGCCGGCAGTCAGCAGAAGTAGCCTGCAGTACTGCACTCTAACCACTGCACGACCACAGCTCATATGGTTGAACGGTTGTCAATTGAGGACTACCTGTCTTCATTGGCTCCCAGAAAGCAATGACACAATGGCAAAGTTCACAGACGATGCCAGGGAAGACCAGAGTGGGGATCAAGAAGAGATAAAACGTGCATGATGCTGCCCTTAAATCCTTGCATCAGATACTGGGACATGAGCACATGAAAATTAAGATGTTGTGACATCACAAAGGTGGCTAGATTTTGTGCAGCAGTGCTGGGGATTCATTGGAAACAGGCGATTAAGCCATCATAGCTATTTTACACAATTAATGCCACAAATCCTTTTGCATCAATCACTCTCTGGCATTTTAGTATTTAAGGACTACAGGCCTCACCGTTTATGGATCGATATTATGTTATTGTTAGGCCCATGCTGTGTTTTGTTCATTTTGTGCAACCGACAATTTGGGTGTCAAATTGTGGTTTTAATATAGATTTAATGGCTATTTATTATTTTATGCTAGATTTTTTTTTTAACCGGATGTTCCTTGAGTGTTTTTAACTTGCTCTGGTCTTCAACTGTAATAATAAGCATTGACTTGACTCGACATCACTATTTTTGTGTGGTTGTGGTTGCCATTGAGGTTGCTGAGAAGGAATGAAAGAAAGAAGGAACCAAAAAAAAAAAGTATTTTCTCCCTACCTCTGTCCCAATTAAAGTAGGGCGGATATACAAGCTAGCAGAGGTTGAATAGGGTACCCACTCCTTCTCAACTTCCACCAGTTTCTGGATACACTGCAGAAGTTCTTCTTTGTCAAATCCCTGCAGGTTGAAACAGAAGAAGGCAACAATTAGAAATAATCTTGAGGCAGAAACACCCAAACAAAAACCTTGGTTTAGGTTGTGTAGAAAGTTAGCACCCACCCCTCTCCTAGAAGAATGAAACATTCTAGGGGTATTCTAGAAAGACTGGCCATCCTATCTACAAGACAAAAGGCCTTCAGCTCCAGGGTGATAGGATTAGCCCTCACTCAAGATCCAAACCAGGGCAAAGCCATTAAGTCATACTAGGAATTACCCAACACCCTTTCAGAACAAAGTCTCTTCATTATATCATCACCCAGCAAGATTCAACCAAGCCTGGGACCCAAACAGCTTATACAAGGTTAGGTGGACCCCCGTCCCCTGGGAGTCTGACAACCAATAGGATACATTTCTTTCACAGGAACAGGAAGCTCCAGTTCAAAACCCAAGAGAAAGTATAAATATCCCTCTCTCTCCACTCCATGTGGTTTGCTACCCAGAATAGCAATAGCACTTAAATTTATAGTGTAAAACACTTTATAGTGCTTTACAGCCCACTCTAAGCGGTTTACGGAGTCAGCAGATTGCCCCCAACAATTTGAGTCCTCATTTTATCCACCTCGGAAGGATGGAAGGCTGAGTCAACCTTGAGCCTGGTGGGATTTGAACTGCCAAATTGTAGGCAGCTGGCAGTCAGCAGAAGTAGCCTGCAGTACTTCACTCTAACCACTGCACCACAGAGAATCACATGTGCTTGGTTCTGATTCACCATTAAACCATCCTTCCAAGCAGCCTCCATGTTCCCAGTGTCTTCCTTCCCACTTTGAACTGAACCCAGATGGATATTTCTTCCAACAGTTGGTTGTTCAAAGGCAGGGATGTCCCAGGATGTCTACCAATCTGTTGTATTAGTGTGCAGCAAGCTATAGCACCATAGCACTTAGACTTATATACCTCTTCCCAGTGCTTTACAACCTCTTCTAAGCAGATTACAGACTCAGCCTATTGCTTCCAACAATCTGGGCCCTCATTTTACTGACCTCGGAAGGATGGAAAGCTGAGTCAACCTTGAGCTGGTCAGGATCAAACTGCTGGCAGTCGGCAGAGTTAGCCTGCAATATTGCATTCAAACCACCAAGCCACCACAGCTAAAGAACCTTATGGTGAAACCACCCAAGAAATGAATTGATTTAAGTGGCTTTATCACAGATATGAACCAGGTTTAATCACAGAAGGGTGTTGTTGGGAAGTATTTTTCCTCCTGGCAGTGGCAGGAAAACAGGGGTGATAGCAGACACTACTTGAAGATAACTTCAATTATGTTCTCATGGATGAAACGTGGACTCAAGAATGAAGGGACCGAGAAGGATGTGTACATATTCCCTCTTTCCTTCCATTATCATCTTTCCAACAGTCTGTTGTCTTCAGAGCTTCCTGCATTTCAAGTTAATTCCTAAGGGCGAATGCCGCTCAAGACTTCCTTGCTGCTCTCTGAGCTTGCTTGTTTTCTTGAAGATGTTCCATTATCCAAAGTAAGTAACATCATCAGTGCTGTTGATGTTCCCTAGTTTGGGTAATGAAATGTCTGCAAGAAAACAAGTACGCTTGTTAGGAATATGAGTCACCTAACAGCTATTTGGGTTAGAAATATATAAACCAGGATAAACATTTTAAAAGTGTATCTTTAAGAAAATGCAAAACTGTAATTAGGTGTGGTTTCTCAAATGGCCATAAGATGGAGCCAGAAACCTGGATTGTTTTAGTCTGAGTCTCAGAAGAGAGTGTGAGTGTATCTCTGTTTCCTTCTGTTGGAAAGTATTGCCGTTTCTCCATTTCTTCTAATTGACTGATATTACTGGATTTAATGTAAGTCTGTTACTGAACTGTTTTTTGACACTGGACTTTATTTGGATTATCCCTGGATTGAAAACTGACTTATTTTAACTTGTGAATGACTTTGGATTGCTTATTTTGGACTTTGCTTAAACCTTTCTGGAAGTAAAAACCTATATTTACTGTACAGTGTATCTGTGTACTGTGTGTGTATTATTCAAACCCTTCTCTAAAATATGTCTCCCTGTATGCGCTCATTCTCCTAACGGGGAGAATTACCTCAACAACGCTCAGAGAGCACCAAGGACCCTTCATTTCAACCTTGAGCGACAAATATTCTCCTGTATTGCTACTCGAGACCTTCTCCAACTGTGGTCCTCCTTTTTCTAAAAAAATAAATAAATAAACTTCTTGGAGGTAAGTGTGGGTAGCAGGCATCGAAGCAATGGAAAGAGGTGGAATGAAAAATAGCAACATCGGTAGTGGCACCTTCCACAATCAAATCAAGCACCAAAAAATAAACATTACCAAGAGAAATTGCAATTGCAACCATCTTGAGAATAAGGTAGAAAATGCCTGATTACAAGGGAACGTGACCAACATCTTATTCCAACTTATTCTAGTCAAAGAAGAAAAACAGATGTTTGCATTACGCACTGGCAAAGTTGCTCGCGCAGCTGACCGTAACATCCTGTCCATGTTGAGTCTTGGTCGGAACAAGCGTATTTTGCCATCCACGCCTCGATATGCCTTCATGCCTTCGAACAGCTAAAGGAAGCAGAAGAGAACAGTTGGGAATGACACCTACACACTCAGCCCAATGCATGCACCCGTAATTAAAATAAGCAAACTGTTAAAATAAATGCTCGTTCTTTCAAAACATCACAGAAATAACTGTATCCGTTTAAAACAAGAGCCCATTGTTTCATTCGCTTCAAATGACAGGTGGAAAACTTCTACATGACTCCAGATGTGCTAAATAGGAAGAGATCATTTGGACAGCAAGGGAATGTTTATTTATTTGACCCATCTCAGCAAATGCCTCTGGGTGGTTCATGAAATTGAATGGAATATGAACTCAAATGTCCACCAGTCATTAAAGCAGCTGCATCTATTCTAGACATTGGAACCTCACAGCACTTATGTAAGCTTGGAAATAGATGCAGCTGCTTTAATGAGTTGTAGATAGATGCCATTTGCTTCTTGCATGTTGACATGCATTGCTATATAAGTATTAATTTAGAGGATCACTCAACATCTCAACACACGGAGTTTCCTATCCTAAACTTCCTATTTAATTTCCTATTAGGATAGTGAATGATTACTTACACGGCTGTTTAACTATTCAAATGTTGCATTTAACTACAGTATTAATGGGAAATTTAGAATGAATGTGAAGCAGATTGGTCGAGAACTTTTCTACCTAATCTGCCCCAATCCAGACTTTAGACAAACATTATTGACCAAGAATTGCTCCTGAGTCTAACTCAAAGCCGCTGGATTGAATGGCTTTTCTGACTTTTCCTACACAGTTCTCTGGAATTCTATAACTGCTGGTTCTACAAGGCTCATAGTTGATGGAAGATACAACAGATCTATTCCTAGCTACTAGTGAAATCTGCTTCAAAGTTTGATCAGCAACAGAACATAAAACTGTTCTTCTCTGTGACAGCCCCTCCAGTACTGGAAAACTGTTATCATGTCACCTCTAGTCCTTTTCTTTGATAGGCTAGACATACCTAGATCCCTCAACCATTCCTCATGTGATTTACCTACAGACCATTAATCATCTTTGTTGCTCTTCTCTGCACACTTTCTAGGGTCTCAGCCTCCTTTTTGTATCCTGATGACCAGAATTATAAAAATATTCCGAGTGTGGTCTCACTGGTGCTCTATACAGTGGTGTGGTCACCTCATGATATCAGAAAACTTTCGTGATATCAGAAAATTTCAGAGATATTGTCAATTGGATTCCAGCAATGAGCTGAAAGGTGGACTTGGTAATCTCAATTGTCCCTTCCAATTCTATAATTCTAGCTATGATTGAAGATAACTTTATTTTTCATGCTCTTAATGGATAACTTTTTAACTAGGTCTAGATAATCCCCCCCAAAAATGCTTTTGAAGTCTGCTTTTCTACCCTTATTTTGGGAAAACTTGTATTATTTTGAAAATATTTTTATATTGAAAGGACAATATTTTTTTTAAAACAAAGCTGAGAATATGAATAACCTATTATTTAAAAAAGTATTGTTATGGTCTCTCAGAGATAAGGTAAAGGCAAAGGTTCTAGTCATTTCCGACTCTAGGGGGCGGTGCTCATCTCTGTTTCTAAGCCGAAGAGCCAGCGCTGTCCGAAGACATCTCCATGGTCATGTGGCTGGCATGACTAAACGCTGAAGGCGCACTGAACGCTGTTACATTCCCACCAAAGTGGTCCCTATTTTTCTACTTGCATTTTTACAAGTTTTCGAACTGCTAGGTTGGCAGCAGCTGGGGCAAGTAATGGGAGCTCACTCCGTTACGTGGCGCTAGGGATTCGAACTACTGAATTGTCGACCTTTCTGATCGACAAGCTCAGCATCTTAGCCACTGAGCCACTGCGTCCCCTTAGTGATAGCCTATCACTATCACTCAGAGATAGTGATAAGCTAAATAAGGCCTATGAACAGTCTCTGGTTTAGAGTTTCCATAAACTTTCCAAAAAGACTGAGCTTTCATAATTTGGGGGATATGGACAGCCAATACATCCTCAGAAAGGGCCCCAAATACATTCCAGGATGTCTTGTCTCTAATTTCAACTAACCCTCTTCATTCCTTGAATAGGATTTCCTGTTACCATTTCATTCCCACTTCTCTGAAAATACATTCTACTGAATGCTATGAGTACGATTTATGAATCACACAATTATCGCTACTTATTTTATCGTCTCTTTTGTTAAGCTCCTATCTCTCCTTTCATTTAGACATTCAGGATGGCATGCACAATATTTTCTTCCTCCTATTTTCTTTCTAATGGTGGATCAGAATCTGGATCACTCCCATATTTAGCCCACCATCTTAGCCATTCCACTACATTGGCTCTCTGTATTTCAACAGTTCAGGTAATGTCAACTCAATAGCAGTCTCGAGTTATTTAACTTGGTCAAGAGACTGACTTTCAGAGGTTTGTGGACAACTGCTGCTTCAGCTGTCTAGCACAGGGTCTCTATTTCTGAGCAGACTCATCAATTTTAGGAATCTTACAGTACTGTCAAGTCTTATTTAACGGTGTAACCAACGGATCCCCAGAAACAAATACTAGAAGAAGAATCTGATCTCTGTTATTTGTCACTACAATGCCCAGCTAACCAGTCTTTCTCAATCTCTGGCCATCCTCCAGCTGTGCAGATTTCGTGGGATCCTTGCTGCTTTCTGAGCGTGGTTGTTCTCTTGCAGATGGAGAGAGAATTATTTGTAGCTCAGGACTCAACTGTGGTGTCCTTGATCCAAGCTTGGTTGTTTTCTTGGAGAGAGATTTATTTATGGCTCAGGACTGAACTGTGGTGTCCTTGATCCAAGCTTGGGTTGTTTTCTTGGAGATGTTTCATTATCCAACTCAGTGACATCATGAGTGCCATGATGCAGATTCATTAGGTCATGGAACATCTGCAAGAAGACAACCAAGCTCAGAGAGCACCAAGGAGCCCACATTTCAACTCTGAGCGATGAATATTCTCTTCCAGGGGTAGACTTCAACTGCCAGAATCGGATAGGCCATCAAGAAAAATCTAGTTTCCACATATCTGGAGGGTGCCCAAGCAGGAGGAAGATTCCACTAGATCATCCACAAAGCCGGCAGAGGCCAGGTTATCCGAGGAGTCACAGATCACAAAGAAGGAACATTTCATTCTCATGTTATACCCACTGTGTATTCATTGAGCCATAGCATTTGGAGCAGTTTCGCTTCCGTCACTCCTCTTGGCTAGAGGAAAACGTGATGCAATAAAGGTTAAAAGTAAACAAAACAATGAAAAACAACAGGGGACAAATGCAGATGAGGAAACAAAAAAAAGAAAGAAGAGCAGATTCATTGTTAGCAGCGAGGATTTGAGATCATGAGTTTAACAGTAGTAACGCTACTCAGAGAGAGAGAGAGAGAGAGAGAGAAATGCCTGAAACTCCAGCGTGGTTTCTTTGCTCTTTGTGAATACATCTAGATCAGGGGTGTCACACTCGATTTCATTGAGGGCCGCATCGGGGTTGTCTTTGACGTCAGGCGGTTGCGGGGTTGCGGCCAGCTCAACGTCATTCATGTCGGGGGCGCATGTGAAGGCCCAAGAGCTCTACCAGCGAAAATGGAGCTCAGGAGGGATGCGCAAGGTCCTCCTGAGCTCCATTTTGTCTAGGAGAAGCACCGCGGGCCACTCCTTCACTGTTTCCAGAGCTGCCCCGCAAGCCAGATCTAAGCAACCTGTGGGCCAGATCTGGCCTGTGGGCCTTGAGTTTGACACCCCTGATTTAGATTTCCTCAGCCAGAAAAACTGGAAAAAAATATATATCATCGCACCAGCGAGATAAATTCAGGTAGTCCTCTACTTACGACCACAATTGAGCCCCAAATTTATAGTATGTTGCTAAGTGAGACTGTTGCTAAATGAATTTTGCCCTATTTTCTTGCCACAGTTGTTTAAGGGAATCACTGCACCTCTTAAGTTGGTAATGCAGCTGTTAAATCAATTTGACTTTCCCACTGACTTTGCTTGTTGGGAGGTTGCAAAAGTCTTAGTATGCTGCCACTGTCGTAAATACGAGTCAATTGCCAAGCATCCAAATTTTGATCGCGTGACCATGGGGACACTGCAACAGTTGTAAGGGTGAAAAGCAGTTGTGAGTCACTTTTTTCAGTAATGTTGTAACTTTGAACAGTTACTAAGTGACCTGTCGTAAGTTGAGAACTCCCTATACCTTAAAATCAATCAATCAATCAATCAATCAATCAATCAAAACAGAAAGGAATGAAAAATATCCCAGTGGAGCCTTCCCAAAAAAGAGAAAAGTGGGGGAAAGGGTTGAGGTCTAGATTCCTCACCAACATTTTTGTAAAACACTAGAAGGGCACAAATCAAAGTATGATTTCCTTTCATTTCGTTTCATTATTGAGATTCAGTTTTTTTGATTGTTAGGAACACTGCAAAAGAGGGAGAGGAAAAAGAAAGGGGTTTGAAAGAATTGCTCCACGTTTTCTCCTCACTTTCTGGCACCCAAAACGTGCCCTTGATTAAGGCTCTGACACAAATGGAATATAACTTGCATTGATGTTTTAGACTACGATCTGGAACCTTGGGCCCTAGATGCTTTGCTCAGTAATCACGCTGGTTTCTGGAGGTTACCAATTCATTTCAGTACAGGTGAGTAACTTGCTTTCTGACACATGCACAGTCTATTTGACCCAAAACTCATTCAAAATTTGCCTTGTTTTTCCAATTCCCACAGCATTGAATGATAACTTGTATGCATTATGACCCCCCCATGATAGATAGCACTTCCACTACATTGCAAACACAATGCTTTCTGATGGAAATGCACCATTTATCATTGAACACTCCTGTTTTCCAAACAATGGGTGTATGAGTGTAAATTGGCCTTAAAACACAGAGTGGAGCTGTCTTTGCATGACACACTAAACCAAAAACCAAAAAGACTCATGAAGGCATAGCAGGTCTTAAATGAAAAGCCTATAATATCTGAACACAAAGAACCACCTTTTTGTAAAGAAACCAGAATGTAAAATCAAGGTTTATCGCAAATTATCAGTTTAAGTTTCCACAAACTTAAAATAGCAGCCATTCCTGATTTAGGTGGTGTGGTTAGTGTGAAACATCCGCTGCACAACCATGAATAATGGACAACAGTCATAAGTGCAAGGACTGGACATAAGTCACTTTTTCCAGTGCCATCATAACTTTGAACAGTCACTAATGATGGTCAGAGATTGAGCACTTCCTGTGGGATAAAGTATGGTTCTCAGAATTTACTGCTTTTTTGATTAGCTGTTGCTTTTTTATTTGTTGTCTTCACTGATATTGCAGTTGTGAAGAACTGCATTTGGGGAAGTGATAAATTCTAAAAATTGTCCCTGTCTTTATTCCCCCATGTTGTACTGTCAGCCATGAAATAAACATACTGTATTGGCAGCTATAATAATAAACTACACCATCCTTAAATAGTTGTCATGAATGAAGAAACAGCATCACAAATATGTCTTTGGCCATTTGACAAACTAGAGAATAAACCTTGACTATTTCTTGGTTAGTTTCACACATGGTACTAAACCATAATGAGGATTGGTTTGGCGGTTTATATGTCTTGCAAAGTTAGCCACTGTGGTTTATACATGGTGATAGTTGCTTAACTCAGTATTTCTTCATTAAAAAAAAGTATGTCTAAAGTTTAGTGTGATGCTTAAATCATCAACACTTACTTACCCTGTTTTCCCCAAAATAAGACCCAACTGAAAAATAAGCCCTAGCATGATTTTTCTGGATGCTCATAATATAAGCCCTACCCACCAAAATACACCCCAGTTAAGATTGTCAACCAGATGGATGCATTTAGTGCCATATTTCCCCCAAAATAAGTCCTAACTGGAAAATAAGCCCTAATGTGTCTTTTAGGGCAAAAATTAATATAAGGCCCAGTCTTATTTTTGAGGAAACATGGGTACTAGCATTTTAGAAGAAGCTAAAATGTGATGCATATGTTTTCTGATGACTGATGTATCTCCAACAAATGCCATTTTTAAAGAAAAAATGGTAAGTGACACTACATTGGCATTTTCTTACTACCTGTAAGTAGAAGCCAACAAGGGACATTGAAAGTTGGAAAACATCAGGTACTTCTGTCATCTACCTATTCCTGGAGAAGATGAAGATCTGCAAAACTATCTTCAAAATCTGAGCCTTACCCATTCACTGTTCATTCCTCACCCTCTTTATCAATCATTCTTTCCTAATCTGATGTTCTCCAGATCTGTTCAACTCCCATCATTCTTAGCCAGCCGTGATGGATGGGAATTAAACTCCAACACAGCTGGAGAAGGCTGGGAAAGACTATTTCTTGGAGACTTTGCACTGACCTGAAACAAAAAGAAGCACATTTTTATATATATAAAAGACCCGATTATTATTATTATTTTAATTTAATGACAAAGATAGGATGAGCTTTGTCTTCATTCTATCGCTGTACTCACTTCTACAGCATAATGCAGGGCTGAGATGGCTGGGTGCACAGAGAGATTCTCCAAGGGCTTAATCTGAGGGACGTCCCATCCAGATGTAAAGGACCATTCAACGAGGAGCATGTTGTCTGTGAAAACTGTTCCAAATACTAAGCCATTTGGGTCTGGTTTCTCTTTCAATGTGGTAGACGGGTTGATAACAAGATCATCAGCCTGGGGCGACAAAAGGGAACAAAACAAGATAAAATTACATTTTAAAAATCGACAGCCCTTATCTCAGAATAATAGAAATTGTGGTCGTAACTCAAGGAATACCTGTATCCTCATTCAGTTCGATGAAGGAAACATTAATTAGAACTTTCTGCTCAGTTTTTCTGCCGAGGTTGATAGTTTTAGAAGACGATTGAAACCCACTCTGCTAACATCTGGAATAGTCTCTTGAGCGAAGTGCATTTTTTACCAGACTGCATCCTAATTTCATGAGAAAGACTTCACTTCCCACAGTTCTTTTTCCCAACTCTTGACTCTATTTGGCTGCTGCCTATCTCCTGCACAAAAATATCTGCCAAAATCTATTGGAAAAGAATGCAGAGTCTTTGCATTTTGACCCACAATCCCAAATTCTATTTTTGTAGAAGTGCCACTTTCTAGAACTGACTCTCAGAGATTGGATTTCACGGGCATTTGCTAAATTTGCTAATTGCTTCCAGGGATGCATTTCATGTGCTACACTGAAATATTGCATATAACTTGCTGTAATGTAACAAAAAAGAAGGGCTTACTATGAAAGTAGCATCTGCACCCACAAACACACACGTATCTGCGTTCACACACACACACACACACACACACACAAATTGAGAAACATCTACTTCTATTCCATATTTCAAATTTTAGATCCATCTATCTGTGCTGACCTCCCAAGGCAATTAAACCTCGGACAACAGAAGTGAAGCCATATCAAACCACAAATAAATACAGGTAACCCTCGACTTATGATGTGTTGCTTAGTGAATATTTAAAGTTATGATGGACCGCCTCAGGGCTATGAAGTTCCAATAGAGGCCCCTACATTTGGAGTGCTTGGCAACCAACCTGCATTTGTGGCTATTTGCATTCTCTTTGGGACTCCGTAGAGCCAGTAAATATGTTTTCAGAAACAATTTTGCCAGCTGGTGAGCTGAAGGGAGACCATGGCACACTATAAAATGAGCCTGCTTGGTGAAAAGATCAATCACTATCCAAATGATAGTGTTTCCCCTACTTTCTGGGACTTCCACTATAAAATCCATTGCTATCTCCTCCCAAGGTCGAGATGGCTCGACTACTTGTTGTAACAGTCCAGGAGTCTTCCCTGGCCTTTTTTTTTTTTCTTTTTTTCATTGCGGCACACACCCCACAGCTTTTTACATAGCTTTCAATGTCCTTCTTCATTTTGGCCACCAAAATGGTGTCTTCACCAGGTGCCATGTTTTTAAGAATCCAAAATGGCCGGTTTGCTTGGCCTCGTGACTTCTCTGGAGGACCTGGACCCAGAGGGTGCTGGGGGTGTACAGTTTGGGGCCTTTCCATGCAAACTGTCCCTGGAGGTCAGGAGCTGTTTGTTGTCTCTAAACCAGGGGTCAGCCTGCAACTTGGGCCTGAGCTTCTAGACCAGTTTGGTCCTGGGCTTGGTCGGCCATTTTTGAGCTTGCTGCCACATAGTGACTTGCTCTGCCTTTTGAGGGAGTGGAATGATTCCTTGTTAGTATAGTCACGTGGGGTATTCTGTGGACAGAATTTTGAGATCACGTGGGGTATTCTGTGGGCAGAATTCCTGTCACATGGTTTATTCTGTGGGCAGAATTCCTGTCACATGGGTTATTCTGTGGACAGAATTCTGAGGTCACATGGGGTATTCTGCGTACAGAATTCTGAGGTCATGTGACCCCAATTTACATTCTTTTTTTTGTCAGAAATGTGTTTCCTTCTGGTTTCCAGCAAAAAAAATCCCACTCTTTGAAGACAATGGATTCACTTCATAAGTGCCACACTCACTCAATGAACACAGTGTTTCATTTAATAACCTGTGCAAAAGGTCATAAAACGGGTGCGGTCATGTGACAACCCACTTAATGACTGGGCTCAATTATGGTCATAAATTGAGGATTACCTGTATCGGTGCATAAAGAGCAAGAACAGATAAAAATAATAGGATTAAGACTTTTAAAGAGGCCTCGATATAACAAAAATTGCTCCATCAGTTCTCTTCTGGACAAAAGTTTGTCTCCTGAAATAAAAGAATCTCCACCTAAAAAAGAAAGAAGTCTAAAAAGATAGATGTAAAGCTGACAAGAATTTTGTCTTCTGCTTTTGACAGATGTCTAAGTTTATCAACTGCAGCTGCAGAAGTATGTCTGTTCCCAAAATGTCAGCGATTAAAAAGCAGACTTGCAAAGAATAAAATTTAACATATGAAAGTCAATCCTAAATCCATGTTCAGAAAAAGAAGGAAGTTCTTTTTAAGAAAAATGATATGGTCATCAGAACACTCTGCTGAAAAATTAAAAGGCAATCCAAGGTTAACATTTCCTACGTCAGCCAAGATTTCCTCAGGGAAGTGTCTGCAGTACATTTTTAATCCCTCGATTTCCAGTTCCAGCAGCTATAGCAGATTTTCTGCTCTCTTTTCGCTGATTTCAAGACAACCCTAAACTCAGTCAAACCTGGTTAGTACAAACTGAGGATGATCAGGAAACCAAGGGCTACAGTTAGGTGCTGAAGCCAAGGTAGCCATGATTAGCAAGCTACTTCTGTCACATTGCCAAGAATATATATATATATATATCATATACATCATCACAAAATCTCCAGAACAGTAAAACCTACAAACTTGAAATTTGGCACGTATGTTTCTCTTGGCTTCTAGGTGCTCATTAAGAAATGATTTTTTGAAATGACCATCAGATCATTAGTATTTCGTATATAATTATTAACACTCCCCCTCCCCATCTGAAAAAAAATCCGTTCCAAATGCAAAACACAAGCAGAGGAGTTTCACTTTCAGTTTTAGTTTCACAGCACCAAGCAGCTTTAGTACAGAACAGTTGAGCTAAGCCACGCCCAGGCTCCTTGCTGTCTCCTTGCTCACACAGCAAATACTGCTTCAATTTCCAAACAGCCCTCAACTCTCTCACACCCTGACAGGACGCTAGCCAGATGAATACCAATGGATGCTGGTAGGCAGAGGCAGAGTTTTTTTCTCCTCTTATTTTCCTCCCCAAAAACCAAGCCTGACCACATAGTTTCGTAGTGAAGCACGAGTATCGAGCTAGTTAATCATGATTTTTATATACCACTGTAACATGTTAGGAGTCCTGATGGTTAAGAAGGAATTCACAGGCTCGATTTGTATAGCTCTCACTTTTTCTTTCCTTGAGGTAGAATTTTGACATTTCTTTCTTTGAAACCTCGCAGTAGTCTGATACAGATTAACAGAGTTGGAAGGGACCTTGTAGGTCATCTAGTCCAACCTCCCATACACTCCATAAGGGCAGGGACATTAAATGTTAATGTTATGTTTACATCTCATGCAAAAATAGGAAGGACAGGATAAGAACACTGATTCATTTCCTTCTCAGAGGTCCTAATTGAGGAAATGTGAAAGCTGACTTGCCCATTTTTTAAACCTGTTCCAACATTTTGGGCCCCAGCCAAACTGAAGAGGAAAATGTTCCTGATTCTTTTGTTAAGTGAATTTTGCCCCATTTTACTGCCTTTCTTGCCACAGTTGTGAAGTGGATCGCTGCAGTTCTTCAGTTAGGAACACGGTTGTTAAGTGAATCTGGCTTTTCTTGTCAGAAGGCCGCAAAAGGTGATCACAGGAGACTGCAATCATCATAAATACAGGCCAGTTGCCAAGCATCTGAATTCTGAGGATGCTGCAACGGTTGTAAGTGTGAAAAATGGTCATAACCCACTTTTTTTCAGTGCTGTTGTAGCTTTGAACGGTCACTAAATGAACTTTGTAAATTGAGGACTACCTGTAATCCGAAGATGCACATTCAAAAGGGGAGAGAGAAATTGTTCCCATTGTCCCTGAATGTTCCCAGCAGAAGCATCCTTCACAATCTGCCTCATGAGACACAAGACAATTGTGCTTTATAAGACTCCAGAGAACATTGCGGTGAACAAGGACATACATTCAATTTCACAGCTACTAAGATTGTTGGCTGAGCAGGTACAAAGATAGCCAGAGAAATGATTGACGCCTGGGAAACGGGCTCCTTGTCAGTCAACAGCAGAGGTGGATATTGAGCAGGTTCTGACCAGTTCTGCAGAATCGGTAACGGAAATGGTGAGTAGTTTGGAGAACCGGCAAGTATCACCTCTGACTGGCCCCACCCCCATCTATTCTCTGCCTCCCATCGAGTCCCAGCTGATTGGCTGGGTCTTCTTTTGTTGCCCTGCCCAGGAGAACGGAACTGGAAAACAGGTTAGTGGGGTGGGGAGGGAATGGAGATTTTGCAGTATTCTTCCCCACCAAGCCACACCCACCAAGCCAAGCCACACCCACCAAGCCAAGCCACACCCACCAAGCCAAGCCACGCCCACCGAACTGGTAAGTAAATAGTTTTGAACCCTACCACTGGTCAACAGAAATGTTGATTTACCACCAGCTTATCAGGTACTTAAGAGTCGAGGATTTAGCAGCACAAGGAAACAACAGACAATGACATAACTGGCCATCAACACCTCCATCAACAAATAATTTAAAAAAACACATACAACCATAAATGCTACGCATAGAATAGCCCAAAGCACGCATTCTGGTAGAGAGAAGTTCTCCAAGGATGAGCTCCAATATGAGTCCCAAAGCTCAGAAGACTAAAACTCTGGTCCTGGTGATCAACCCAGATTGGATCCTGCTTAACCTCCAGGTCTTGCTTGTCCATCGCCCTATTTATCCTTCAAGGAGAGTTTCCCACACTCATCTGAACACCCCTGCAGGCGTTTCTGTTTTAGCAAACAAGCCGTACCTTGAAAGAGTTGGTCATGGGTTTTGCAGCTGCCTCTGTGCATCCATCCGCATAGTCATTTTGGCAACCCTGCAGTGGACAAAGGACAACGCTTTTTTAAAAAAAAATCAATCAAATTGAATCAATGCTCTGAAGTCACATTCAATGTACTCTTCCAGCAGTTTGCACCTGTTCAGGGAAGGTTTGGGGCATTCGGGGAGAAATGGGGCGGTGGATTGGAAGAAAGCTTGAAAACAGTAATCTGAGATCCAGAGCTCATAATTTTACAAGAAAATCTGGTACAATCAGCATTTGGGACTCCTGAGAGAATAAATCCTGCTTTGCCCAGTTTTGGGATTCTCAGTAGAAAAACAAAGGTACAATTATTTCTGAATTAAAAAATTAACCATTAGTTAAGAATTGCTTGCAAGTCCACTATTCTACGTTGGTCCAAACCCACTGTGAGGACCATATCCAGTGGTGGGATTCAGCTGGTTTGCACCAGTTGGGTTGTTAAATTGCCCCCGCCCCACTATCGAAGTGAATCCTGGGCACTGCGCTGCAATGGAGAAATGGGCAATGGAGCTGTCGGTGTGAGGGAGGGAGCAGGCCGCTTTTCCCCTTCTCCCTGATCCTCCTCCTTTGACTCAGCCTACCATCCTCCCGTGATGGGTAAAATGAGGACCCAGATGGTTGGGGGCAATATGCTAACTCTGTAAACCGCTTAGAGAGGACTATAAAGCACTGCGAAGCAGTATATAAGTCTCGGTGCTATTGCTAAGGATATCCACCTTACAGTGATGACTCTGTAAAATGTTTGCTTGTCTTCCAATCAAGTATTGATGCATCAGTGATATTATTGGATCATGTTCTGTTAAAACAAGCCAGTTTCTTTCTTTCTCTTTTCTTTTCTTTTTTTTTAAACTTTGATTATGTTATAAAATAAGATACAAAATACAAAAGAAAATAGGAAAACTGTGAGGGGAAAGGAGGGGAAGAGAAGCGAGGAAGAGCTGGGGAACAGAAAAGAAAGCACTGACTTCCGACTCCCTCTGTTGCAGTATAATAAAGCATTAACATCAAACCACAACATTTTTGCTTTTTCATAGTAATATAAACTAGCCATTTCTATAAACACATAGCAGTCTAATCGGTAAAACCCCAAATTCTCATTTTTGGGTCACAGGCTTGTTTCAACTCCTTCGCCAAACTTTTGGAAAGTTGATCCTGCCCAGCCAGCATCACACTGAGACGTAAAGGGCTTGTTTAGCAACTTCTGAAGTTACAATGCACTGAAAAAAGTGTCTTATGACTGTATTTCTTCCCGGGGTCATGTGATCAAAATTCAGGCGCTTGGCAATTGGTTCCTATTTATGACAGTTCCAATGGCTCGGGAGTCATGTGTTCACTTTTTGTGACTTCCTGACAAGCAATGTCAATAGGAAAGCTCCAGATTCAATGAACAACTGTGTTACTATCTTAACAACTGCAGCAATTCACTTAAACTGTAGCAAGAAAGGTTATAAAGTGGTGCAAAAATTACTTAACAAATATCTCACATAGCAACAGAGATTTTGGACTCGGTTATGGTTGTAATTCGAGGACTACTTGTACAGTCTTTGCAGATTGCCTCCTCACAATGTACAGTAGTTCCTTTAGTTGCACTTCATGTGTTATATAAATGTGTCCATTATTACTTATTCACTAGACTATGGATAAAACAGACTGCGGCTTAGCACAACTACAGAATTTCCTTGATTGCTATAGCAGTATCTCAGCTGCAAAAAAAGAAGCTTCGAGGAATTAAAAAGAACAATCACACCATCTGGGTTGCACGTCTATCTTCTAATAATAATAACAATTACAATAATAATCCACCACAGATTCTCAAGCAGATATGTTTGCTGAATAGATGAGTCATGCAAGCCTATTTTTAACTCTGGCTGAACAAGCTTGTAACTCTGCGTGACCTCCTGGGAGGGGAATCTGAAGACTTGACTAAGGAAGATTTTATTTTTATTTATTTTTATTTTTATTTGGTTTGTCAATAGCTTACAAAATAATAGGTATAAGTAAAAACATAGTCATGAATACATGGATACATATAAGAAAAATAAAAGAAACAATAGGACAGGGACGGTAGGCACGTTGGTACATGCACGCCCCCTACAGACCTCTTAGGAAAGGGGTGAGGTCAATAGGAGACAGTCTAAGGTTAAAGTTTTTGGGGTTTGGGGAAGAAACCACAGAGTCAGGTAGAGTATTCCAGACCTTGACCACTCTGTTGCTGAAGTTGATGCATCCAGATTTCTTTTCAAAGCAAAACCCAGATATATTTTTTTTCTTTAGCCCGGGCGTGAAGTCTGCGGAGGAGACAGACAAAATAATAATACAAGGGGACCCCAAAAGAGTGTGCCACAATAAACACAACGACACTGGGCGGTTTGCAGGGCTTCGGCGGCAGGCAGGAATCCGCGATCGTGCACGGTTTCTGCCTGGGCTCACCGCTGGAGCGCCCCGAGCCAGCTGGCTTCGGGGCTAAGCCACCCCATAGAGGTGGTGAAGACGAGGGAGATTCCAGCAGGGTCAAGGAAAGCCGCATCTTTCCTCCTCATTTTGCTAAACTCCCTTTCCCGAAGGCGGTAGAGCGGCGGTCAGAAATGGCTGCCTCAAAGAAGCACTCATCCGGAAAAGAAAGTGCAGGAGGAAGTTAAGAAGTGAAAGTTTTGGCTGACCGGGATAAGAAGCAACAACTAAGGTATCCTGGAATTTAAATTTCAAAAAAGATACATCGCTCCCAAAGAAGATTCGGAAGCAGCGAATGAAAGTGAAAAGGGAAAGTTTTGTTTTTTTCACTCTCCTTCCTTACGTTGACAGCGAACAGAGATGAATGAGAAATCGGAAAAATCCACTTTGGCATCAACAGGTAATTAAACTAGAAAATTAAATGCCAAGGGGACAATAAAGATTTCTGTTGTAAGTGGGAAGGGAGAGGAAAAGAATAAGAGCAGGATTTGGAAGGAGGAGGCTGCCTGGAATTCAAAGAATCTAAAGTTAAATCTTAGCAGGACTTCTAAAAGATACATTTTAACTGGAACTTTGTAACTAAATAGTAACCCCAGGAAGAGAAAGTGAAAAAAGAAGAAAGTGTTAAAAGAAACAGCTTGTGTGTATTTGGATTGCTTGGTGACTTTGGGACTTCTGGAAATTATATTTGAAGGATTAAAAACACTTGGGTGGTTGTTTAAAAAAAACACTTTACAATGGCATCACTTGTGGAACTGAAAATGGAATTTAAAAAATATAAAGAAGAGGAACAAGAAGGGAAGGGCTCTCTTGGTTCTGTTTTTCAATTCTTAGAAATGGTGATCTGTACCTACAAGAAGCTACAAGAAAAGACTGTGCAACAAGAAGATTGGGACAAAGAAGAAGCCATCTTTAATGAACAAGTAACTTTACTTGGGGAAGAAAGGGGAAAGAGGGGAAAGAGAAAGGAGAATTTAAGACCTAAAAAAACAACCAAAAAAGGGGAAAATAAGGTGAAAAGTGGATATAATGTTAGAAAGCAACAGAAAGGGGGAATACAGAAGAGGGAAATGGAAGTGGAGAGACAAGGGGGTAAAAAGGGCAGAGAGAAGAAGCAAGGGAGGGAGCAAGGGAAGAGAAGCTACAAAGGTGTGAAGCAAGATGTAAAGAAACAGGACTTATTCAGAGATAATGGGTAAAAATTTAATTGAAAAAGCGATTCTGCAAAGGTACATAAGATTGTATTGTTATATTTGTATTAGAAATAATGTTAGAAAATTGGAAACAACATATGATTAAAAAGTGGGCTAAAATACTTAGTGTAATTCAGTGAAACTTTTGTGAACAAAATAAATGAAATGAAATAAATGAGAGAATTGAATTAGGAAGGAATGGGAACATTTTAATGACACAATGTTTTAAAATATAAGTGAAGTGTGGGGGGGAAGTAACTATGGAAAGTTTATAAGTGTTCCCATAGAAGCACGATACTTACTTGAAAAGTAATGTGTAAAATGTTTAAGATTTAAATGAATATTAATATTAATGATAGAATTGAATTGGTATGGATTGTTGTTTTCATTATATTATATATTTATATATTTTTTCTTTTTAAAATATAGTGTGTAGCTTTAGAATGTACTAAGCAGAATCTGAATGGAAGTTATGTATTATATTAAGTGTTATAATTTTAGGGGAAAGATATAAAGGCGTCATACTCCAATCAGTGATTACAGGAGAAATTTTGTTTAATGAGAAAAGATAATAGATAGCTGAAACAGGACAGACAAAGAATATAAGTATAATGATCTGAATTGAGATGAAATAAATAAAATAAAATTAAGAAAGTTAAAAGAGGGGAGAAGCTATATAGAAAATGTAGAATGGTAATAAGATATGGAATGGTATATAAAAATGAGCATGAACTTGAATTTGTGTCTGTACGAAGAGATGTAACCGGGGATCAAGCTGCTTTCAAAAAAGATGTTTTATGTTTTTATGTTTTATGTTTTGTTTGTTTATGTTTGTTTTTAAAAATCAAAAAAAAAAATATCAAAAAAACAACAACACAATGGCACTGGATAGATTAAAAGCTCCTGCCAGCTGAGACAGGAGAGGCTAAATTGGAGTCCTTGGTGCTCTCTGCATTTGGTTGTTTGCAGACTTTTCATGACCAGCCTAGGTAATATCATCAGTGTTAGTGAATATGGGATTTGTCCCTCTTTATAGTTAAAGGGACACGGTGGCTCAGTGGCTAAGATGCTGAGCTTGTCGATCAGAAAGGTCGGCAGTTTGAATCCCTAGCACCGCGTAACGGAGTGAGCTCCCGTTACTTGTCCCAGCTTCTGCCAACCTAGCAGTTCGAAAAGCATGTAAAATGCAAGGAGAAAAATAGGGACCCTTTTGGTGGGAAGATAACAGCATTCTGTGTGCCTTTGAAGTTTAGTCATGCCAGCCACATGACCACGGAGATGTCTGTGGACAGTGCTGGCTCTTTGGCTTTGAAACGGAGATGAGCACCGTCCCCCTAGAGCCGGAAACGACTAGCACATATGTGCGAGGGG